AGGGCATTGGACAGGATGAGGAAGGAGCTTTTTGTGGTGGCGGTGCCTCCTCTGTGACTGACAGCACCGGAGTGTAGGGCATGGATAGAGATACTGGAACAGGGAGAGCGTTTGTGTCCACCCTTTCCCCAAGGGCCATGTGCGTGCCCCAAATTGGTCAAATGGAGTAGTTTTTTATGTAATTTTTGCTTTGTGAATTTCGGATTTCGCAGTAGAGCTGCTGCCGGAGGATCCAGTCCAGTCCAGCATCCATTTTCCATCGCTTTATGAATATTGAAGTTAAAACTTTAACTTTTTGTATCTTTAAGCAGCACACTCCATCTCTGTCTCTCTGCCTCTTAGCTTCTCAGTTTCAGTGAAATCAAAGCCAGTAATCTTTCAGCAGAAATGAAAAATGGAAGCGCACACATTGTCATACATTGCGACTGGGATACATAGGGAGAAGCACATAAGCGCTGTGCATATAGCACGAGGGCATATAGAGTTTTGCTCCTTTGTTTGGCTTGGCGGCCTGCCCAAACATGAGTCAAACATCCGCCCTGGAGGAGTCGAGTGCGTGCGGATCTATAGGGAGAAACTGAAACGCATGTATACAAAAATTGCAAACAAATAAGAGAGAAAAACTTCAATCAATGCAAAGGACAACGACGCATTGAGGCCAAAAGGTCACCGTCCGGACGGCCAATATTTATTTAAATAAGAGTCAAGTGTAAAACAACGTGTACTGTGTGCAAAAAAAAAATCATTTGAATGAAAAAAGACATTCAAAGTGTACTCAGTCAGACCCATGGCCCCCCTGGTGATTGGACTAAAGCATTTTTGCATACGCGCTTTGGGCATTAATTTTTAATTTTCATTACAAAGGCCTTCGGCCACACAAGGGCCCCCTGCCTGCAATACTATTGTCTTGCTGTCCTGCTCCTTGATGTCGTGGTAATGCCAATTATCTTGCGAAAAATAACAAAGCCCTCGACTGGGCTAAATAAATTAGAACAATTATATTGAATTGTCTGATTGATTTGGCTTCCCTGCACACGAGACGATTTCCGTTTTTGCCGGCCTAATTGGCATTTTCTCTGGCCGCTTTCTGCTCTCTGTTTGCTGCCTGGGGGCTGCTGCTGGGGGCGATGTTCTGCATTAATTTATGTTTTTTCATAAGATGCCGGCTGCTGATGTAATAAACGCATAAAGGATATTAATGAGCTGCTGTTTGCTTATCCTGTTCGCACTCTCCACCGCTCCCACGCCCCTTTTCATTCGATTTGCTTTTATTTCAGCTGAAAAGGCAACTAATTGCTTACTTACACACACACACACGCACACACGCATACACATATGCATGAAGAGGAGAAAAGAGAACAAAACTTATTGCTCATGCTGCCAGGGCACTGTTCTCGCATATTTCACAAATTGCGCATACGACATGTTAAACGTCTCTCACGCCACGCACATGCACATACACGCTCGAAGTCAGGCCGAAGAAGTCGCCCAAGAGCGCATTATCAGGCCATAGATGGCAGGCAGGTTGCTGTTGTTGTTACACTACTCATGGACTCCATTGTAGAGGATATCATGATTCTGCTGGGCGACTTCAAGCGCGGAGAGAGAAAGAAGAATGCAAGTCGATAGACTCTAATTACGCTAAGGATCAGTACCGCTAGGTCTAAAGATAATTATAAAAGTAATCACTGGATAATTCAGTTTCATTTTATAGACTTATAGTGCTCTCCGTCGAATCTTTATAGCCAAAGCCCCATATCGTAGCTATCGATCTGAAAGAGCATCTAATGCTTCGTCCTGGAAACCACTATTTCCTTCATGCTGTTGATGTTGTCTCTGCTTCTGGTCTCGCACTCTAGTTGCCTGCATGCCTCTGTCATAATTCAACTTTTATTTACACACACACACACACAGAAGTACACAAACACGGGGACACGCACACAATGAAAGTGAAATCTTCCTTTGAGTGGCGCTAAAAGTATGCCGCGTGGTGTAATAACACGCGTCGACGACGGAGAGGAGCTTGAAGGCGGAGAAGACACGGGACAGAAGAGAGAGCCTTCTGTTGATGCCGCTGCTGCTGCTGCCACTGCCGCTTCTGTGACAGTGACAGCAGCGGTGCTTATGCTTGTCAGACGCATGCTTATGATATATCACACGGACACACACACACACACTCGCAGGGGGAGAGAGAGAGAAAGGGATTGTTGTCGCGCCCTGCTTAAAGCCCTGAAATCGCAGCAGTCCTCCGCAGCATCCACAGCATCGTATCCTCCCCCCTGTCGCCTGATAAGAGGCTGTCTGTTAAATTCGCACTACGTCTATCTGTCGCCTGCATGCGCTGCGCTGACTGACTGCAGCTGAATTTATATACCATATTATATATATTATTTATATTTTATTTTGAAATTTATGCCGGCTGCCAGCAGCCCCGCTTCGCCGCTCCTTATCCGGAGAGTTATGCGTCTTTGACTTTATTGAGCATGCGAATTGCACAATGCATGAGGCAGGGGCCATAAGCCGTGGCCATGGAATTCCCATCCCATCCCATTCCCGTTCCCTTTCTCACACACACTCAAGCCCAGCATCAGTCCCAGTCGCATTCCCCGTTCCATTACCATATGGGAATGTTCTTTGGGTTTTTATGCGGCGTTAAATCTTGAGGAAATTGTGTCACATTATGATGAACATTTATGGCAAAGTTGAGCATTTGCCCATAAATTTGTGAGCCTTGATGATGCCCCATCCCGAGTGGGTGTATGGATGGATGGATAGATGGATGGATGGATGGGTGCGGATGTGGGCCCTGGCATAACGATGATGGAGTAGCTGTAGTAATTTGACAAGGCTCAAATCTTCAGGGACGCTCTTGTCTAGGCCAGGTAGGCCAAATATGTGGGCCGCAAATGTTGTAGCCGCCCATTTAGGGAACACCAAACACCTGACCGTGACCGAAGAAACCAATCAATAGGCAAATAAGCAAATAAACAGCCCAACAGCCGCCCGCAGCCAGTTACCAAAATAGGTTACAGATCAGCGCCCGGACCCGACCGAACCTAATTCGATTGGGCCAAACTGTTTTATTTTCGGCACAATATTCCTAATAAATTGGGCAACTAATTCCTTGTTTGCCAAGACTCCTTACTGTCTTACAGGAGCTTAAAGCAGAGCTCCTCTAGGCCCAGGGCGCACGTCAATAGTTGTCAATAGTTACATCATACTTTGCGCACACCAGCAACAACGCCATGGCCAATGGAACTAACTTTTCTCTTCTCCTGAACTGGCCTTCTTGTGTTGCTCTTTGACTGCGCCGTTCTGTGGCACCGACAAACTTTTTTAATTAGCAAATCTTCCACTTGGTGTCATTAAAGTTCAGGTCCGATGCCGGGCAGGGGCAGGGGCTCCCTACACAACACAATACGAGCGCAGTTTGTATCTGCTGCAATCACTACCGAGAACACACTCTTCTCTCCTCTGGCCATCTTCAGGTTAATTAATCAGCAATAAAATATGCTAACCGAATGACATAAGAAGAGAAGCAGTAGTAGCAGGAGCAGCAGCAGGAGCCAGCTACCGCTACCCCTTGGAGCCGACAGATGTACCTTTCGTGTGTATGTTGCTTGTCTGAAATTTACTAATGAGCAAAGTTTGACTGGCAATAGCCCTACCAAATGCGTACCGCCCACCCATCTCCCATCTTGTTAGTTTATGTGCAGGGCAGAGCCAGGGGACGGAGGATGGTGAATGTCTGTAGGAAAAATGATATATATGAAGAACGGGACAACACAGCCAAGGGCTGAGGTGAAAGATGCGGCCGAGGGCCGCCCTCTGAGGCGTGTCGGCAACAGAAACATCAGGAAGACAACAGACAACAGCGAGCACACACTCCCTTTCCATGCACTTCCAAAGTTATTATCTTTTAATCAAAAAGCATCAAACAGGGCTGTTGAAAGTTCATAAAAATTTATGAACTTTTTTTGCGTGAGTTATATTTTATTTATGTACGAGTATCCTTGCCTACACACGCCTTACACACTCACACACGCGACAGTCTTGCAGTTGCTCATTAAAAACAGCACACAACAGAAACACGAAGAGAGGAGGTCCCACAATCGGAAACGGAACCCAGTTGTCGCATGGCTGCCGATACAAAATGTTGCATAATTATGTGAGCCGAGCCGAGTCGAGCCGCTTTCTGGGTTAAGGGTAACCAGGCATCGGGGACTCGTCTTCACCCCATTAATGCAACACCATTAGCCCGAAGCCAAACTAACCATGACACCCGCCCAGAGCGGTGGCCACTCGATGACGGGGATGGGGATGGATGCGTTGGCCAGCTCCTGGGTCGGGTCCGGGGGTCGGGGGTCAGGGGTGGTTTTATCAATTTTGATGCCTTGTTTAATTGTCGGCACTCGTGTTGCCGATGACGGGGCCAAAACACGCAATTAAAAGGCGCAGCAGCAACATTTGGCTAGGTGATAAAGCAGCACTCAATGGGAACTGGAAACTGGCTATTATTGGCCGATATACAGAAGGCGGGGGGCGGTTGGAAGAAGAGGTGTTCAGTTCTGCAGGAACAGTAGGGAGGAAAGGTCATGCCTCAGCTGTGGCTTTGTACATAAATCTACTGCCTTAATTACAAGTCGCCCCTCGAAACGCGCCATTAATCACACTTCATCGATGCGATGGGCCACACATAAAACAACCAATTTCGAGGAGTGCGTCGGCCAAGGGCATTCCCCTCTACGGGGGATGTAATGGTTGGAGGGGGAAATCGGTTTCCCCTTTTTCTCTTCTTTTTTTTGGTAGTGGTTTACGAGCTCAATTTGCCTGATGCGCAATGCCAGTCAATATATAAAAATTTTATTAGCACTTTTCATATTTCTGCAAGCTCCTGCCAACAACAGCCAGAGAACGGCAAGAGAATGGCTGGAAATGATTTTCCATCCCACAAAAACCGCATTTACTCATGTTTTGGCATTTCTGTTTTCTATTTACAGGACAGTGGACCAGGACCGGGGCCAGGACCAGCCTTAAATCCCGCCCGAAAAGAAGGGCAATAAAAGCGCCAAATAAACATGTAAAAGCACATTAAGAGTCGGTGTGGGACATTCGCTCGATTTAAGCAACTTTAACTGCGCGGAAAGCAACTCGAACTGATCTAAGTCGACGGTTGACGGTCGACGGTTGACGGTCGACAGGCCACAAACAGACATGCATACGTAAATGGCAGTTGAAATGTTCTTTTTATGGGCCAACTCCGAGCCAAAGAGTACATTGGCGCTTCATTAAAGCCAACGGCGGAAGCGGAAATAGCATTCGAGCAGAACAGCCATAACAACAGCAGGACCTGTGTTTATTGGCGCCACGTCATCGCAGCATACACAGAAACAAACACACAAACACAGAAGCAAACGCAAAAAACCAACACAACGAGCGGTCGGTCTGCACATGTACAACAACAATTGCAGTCAATTTCGGTGTTGCTGGTGCGGGTGCTGCGGCAATACTCTTTTTTGCTCTTTTGTTTCTTTGACACTTCGGTCAAATTGAAGTTTTTTATATAAATGACGAGACGTTCTCGCGTTTGGCACAACGCACCGCAAGCTAAACGAAATGACAGCCATGCAGTTTTTATTAACAACAACAGTGACAGGAGCAGCGACAACTGCAAGAACAACCAGAACACCAGAAACCAGATCAACACCCACATCAATGGAAACTACTTCAACATATTGGCAACCGAAGGAACAACCGCACAATTCGCATCGAAAAACACGAACGAGATGCACGTCCGTGTCGAGGTCGTCGCTGTGGATGCGAATGCGAATGCGGATGCGGACTCGAATGTCGATGGCGGACAATGGGAGAACGATTTGGGTTGTCGGCTGGATGTTGACACTCTTGATTTGCCTGCAGCTGAACACGGCACTGGCGGACGAGGAGTCTCAGGATTTTCAAAAGAACAGTGAGTATCCATCCGCAACAAAACCATCTTAATAACCATAACATCCAACGATTGGGGGGGACTTCAAACAAATGTAGCTGCAGATACTGTAACGAGCATTGCTTTCTCCTTCCAATTACCAACAAAATAAACATGGAATTCCCTTATGTTCTCACCTGTTTCCAATACCATCTGCGCATCTCGAGTATGTGCTGATGGATCTGACCAATGGAATGTAAATGGGAAAAAAAACGGTGGGGGTGGAAAGGAGGAACAAAAAAAGGAAAAGAAAACTATGCCAAGAGGTCATCACATTTCCGCTCACGATATTCGCCCACGTCTGCACAAAACGTCCATCTACAAGACGTATCTGGGAAGCATTTTGTGCAAACTTGCAAATCATGCGACGACTGCCAAAAATCCTTATCAATGTGCGTTAGATAAAACGTGCAGAACTTCTCTTGCCGCGGCATTTTTCAAAACGAGACCAGAGCACACACAGAGCAAACTTGCAAGCCATGGCCCCACGGCCCCACGGCCCCATGGCATGGCGCGAGAGAGTCAGCAGTTTTGCCCAAACAACTTTATAATTTGCGAGGTCGAGTCGAGGATGTGTTTTGGGTCTTCTTTTGGCCGTCTACGAGTGATGGGATCCGTGCACGGGTGCCTTGGGTGCTCGGGGTGGTTGGGTGTGCTCTGGTGCCTTGTGCTTTTTACGATCCTCTCAACTGGTTGTTGTGAGTAGTTTACGTGTGTCCCCTCTGCCCCATGTGACCGGGTAGACTTGAGGGCAAATCTCATTTCCCCAGTGTCTGCCCAATTCCCCCATCAGTATAGTATATAACTTTGGCTCCCACTCCCACTCCGGCCACGGCTCCTCCCCAGTCGACGACACAAAAACAAATCATAATTCGGCATCGACATCAGCATATTTTCCTTAGGGTTGGTTTTCTGGTTGTCTGCCTTTTGTTGTTGCTCTGCTCCCTGGGATGTGACGACTGGTTCTGGTTCTGGGTTTGAGTCTGGGGGCCTAAAATTTATGACAGGATTTGCCCAAAATCGAGACACATTTTCCAGTATTTTCTATTTCGCTGGGGTCCGTCGATGCATGGGATTTTGTACTAAATTGAATTTCAATGCCTGGATTTAGACATTTTCGGCTTGGCGTCATGCCCGTTTGGCTTTTGTCTGAGCATTTTGGCATTAAATTTAATTACGCCTGCTGCTTTATTAGCGTCGGCGACATCCTTCGATGGCTCTGCCTCAGCATTTGCATGGCCCTGAAGGACGCTTTTCCAGAGCGGTTTTTGCGGCTCTCCGAAGTGCTATTGAACTCGATCTGCGATTTCATGGATTCCCCGACACCCGTGCGTATCCATCTCTCAGGAACAGCATGTATCCAAGGCTTTTCTTGCCTTGTACTGCCAAGCACACTGTGATGACGCTTTAAGTGGAATCCAAATGTGCTGTGTATCGTTGGCACATAAACAACTCACACCAGTGCATATTCTCTGAAACGTGTGTGTGTGGTGTGTGTGTGTGTGTGTGTAGGGGAGTCGTCCCAAGTGCCACTCCTGCTGGCGCTGCTGCTGCTGCTACCACCAGTGGCAGGGGACCTGGCAACGGCTTCCGTTTGTCGCATGAATATTTTCATCATAATCGTCGCTATTTTTATGTTCTGCTGACGCTACAGCCACAACTACAGAAAAAGAACGGAACCCGAAGAACGTTTGGTTTGGCATTAGTAGGGGATTTCCATGGGGTGAGCACTCATAGGGCGGAGAGTGCCGTTCCCTATGCAAATCCCTTGCTGTGCTGCTGTTGCTTTGGCCTTGGCTTTGCTTTTTGATGGGCAATCAGCACGCTCGATAGCAGCAATACAGCCGTATCAAGAGTGCTTCGACAATAAGATACCCGGCATTATTCAGTGGAGGCCATTTCGGATATGCATGAGCTACTGAAATTAGCTGTATCTTTAAACAAAAAGTAGTACACATATTTATGGCTTATCGGCGATTTTTTGTATTGTTTGTTACTGCTTCCTGGCAATACAAAAATATTTCATATTTTTATTTTTATAGAAACAGGTAATTTAAGATTATCCATAAATTACTTACCCCTATTTTTATAGGCTTGCAAGCTTCTGGCTGTTTCTTGCATACCCTCTTTGAGTACCGGGTATAAATATTCATACGAATATTGCCAAAGAATCAACCCTAGGGTTAACAGAAGGGGCAGCAGCATGAATATGAGGCGTGGCGGCTCAGATCAGAGGCACGCCATCAATTGCAATGAAAATATTTACAACTGCCTCAAGAGCTCAACAGAGAGTCAAGATGATGGTTCTGGGATGAACTCCAGTCGGCACTCGGGCCTCCTCATCAGCGCATCATTTGTGTTGTAAATTGATTTTCTGTTAATTTTTATGAACTTCAAAGGAATGGACAGGCAGAAGGGTGCAGCATCCACGCAGCAGGGACAGCGACACATGCTGTTCAGCCCTCTTCGCATCCATCCAGTGGGAGAGGGCGTTGAAAAATGTCTCGAGCATATTTCCATATATATTTTATTTATAAACACGCGCGCGCGTTCGCAGTGTCAAAACAGCGTCATAAGCGGCGCTGCATGGCGGTCAGAATGGATGGGATGGGGCAGCATGTGTGGCAAGAGGGGAGAGCAGTGTTTTGGCTGCAGGAGAAGCGCCACAAGTCAAGTGCAGCAACAGCAACAGCAGCATCGGCTCTGGAAAACGAAAATTTCGTTGTATCTCTGGAGTTGCGATGCGACGCAGCAAGATGCAAAGTTCAATTTTACATGCTGAAAATGGTAGCTACAGCGGAGTGCGGGAGGGGGACGTACGAGGCATGCTGCAACGTGGTGGGGCACAAAAATACAACAGAGGAAGCACATGTCACACTGCAGTACGTGTACGGATGGAAATGGTAGGAGCAACTGGCGCTGGGCCGTGACAGACGGCAGCGACACGAGAGTGAAAAATAAATGGCATCGAGAAGAGAATGCCGGAAAGGAAGACGAAGACCCAGCCAGGGAGGGGGCCACGAGCACGAAAGAATGTCCACCCAAGGTAGAACATGAAAGGGATCCAGGATCCTAACTGAAGGAGTTTGAAAAAAGGGGCACTAAATTAAAAAAAAAACACACACACACACACGCACACATATGTACTCGTAGTTGTTGAGATAGCAGAAATGAAATTGTTGTAATCATAAAATGCAACCTCCACGGAAGGGATCGATGGGGGAGGCATTTCGAACAACTTTCAGTTACGGTTCCATTCAGACAACTCCATTGTTCCGTTCCCATTGTTGCAACAGCGAAAGGGATGGGCAGGGGAGGAGGAGATATGTTGTAAGCGAAGACAATGACAATTCCCTGGACAGGGGCACTTTTCTTTCCCGCCACTCCATGTTTTTCGCACACATTTCGAATTTTCTGTGCTCTTAATTTTATTTTGCACTTTCCTCCCCCGACACACAGAGTGTTCCTCATAAATATTATTGCATTTTCGCATCTTCTGCTGTGTTGTTTATGAACTGCATCTCGCACCGCCACTTGGCCATGTGCTGGCATCCACCCAATGCAGCAGCTGTCTCTCTCTCTCTCTCTCTCTCTCGTTGCCATCCCATGCCACTTGTGGGAAAAGGAAAAGCTTTCAGCGCGAGTTCATTCTACACAACTCAAACAACTTGAACTGGCCGCAACAAAAGCGCTGGAATGGCCACATCCTGTTTAGCGCGAAATTTCAATTATGAACAAACATGACCACGCCCCACAGCATCCCGCGCCCCACTACTCTGCCGCAGAACGTCTTTCCCAACAGCAAAAGAATAGATAAAGTAATATTTGCAAGTTTCCTTTCCTTTCCATTTTTTGCTCTACTTTTTTTATTAAACAGAAGAAATCACTTTTGCTCCATTTTCATGGGCATTGGGGCGTGCACTCATGCAGCTGTTTCATTTCTGGCTTGAGGGTATGGGTATCACATCTACATCTACATATATATAGTAAATATATGTACTGTATACGTATCCGTATGTTTGTGTTTGTGTTTGCGAATGGGGGTATTCCGAGTTATAAGTTGGTGCGCGCCCCCGCTGACTACTCAAACGTGACTGGCCAAAGTTTTTCAATAAACTTTAACAAGAAAACATTAAAAAGCCACAACGATGGCACATTTACATTTCCAGTAGCCCCATTTGGCGGTCAGCGACGATGGGATGCGATGCGATGCGATGGGATGCTCTTTCTTCTCTGGCAAAGAGTCAAAGCATCAACTCCATAAAAGCGGCAAAATAGTTGTGTGAAAAAGCAGAACAAAACTGAACCCATCCTTGGATCCTGTCCGCACTCTTTGGGCTTCGCGGAGGAGGGGCAGGGGCAGCAGCTCGAATATAAATTTCAAATAAAAAGCAAATCTAAGGAACTTCTTCGTCTCCCGCTATGGTGTCAGCTGCTGATGCTGCCACTCCTTCTGCCACTGATGCCTCTGCTGTTGTTGTTGCTGTTGCTGCCACTGGTGCCGCTTCTTCATCATCGTCTTAGGGTCTTGCGCTTATGCCACCCGCGAGGCTGCCACTGGCAGGGTCTTGCTCCTGGTCTCCGCCGCCCCGCTAGTGGCGCATTACGCGGCAACGAAATGAAATAAATATCATTTTATGACTTTTTAACTTGTTTCTCTCGCTAGCGCTTCCCTTTTAGCCGCCTTTAACAAGCGCAATAAATGCAACACTAAGCGCGTCGATGAAGGGGGTGGGGGCCCCATTGGGGCATGGTGCATGGTGCACGGTGGGGCGATAAAACTGGAGCGGGGGCATCAAAGATCTGACACTTGCAGCTGCTATCCGCTTTTATAGTCCCGCAGTTTCCCCTTTGTTGGTATTTTTAGCATTTGCATTTTTCACTTGATTGAGTGCTCGCTCTCGCTCTCGCTCCCGCTCTCGCTTTCCCTTTTCCTCCTATGAGTAATGCTTCCGCTAATCAGCGCTCCATCTGGAACCCCA